CAAAATAAGGATAGGGAAGGTATTAGAAAATGACAAACACAAAGAACTTAAAATGAGGAAGAGTCCTCAAATAAGGACTGGAAAATTTCTCATATAAAGAATGCTTTTCCTGAAAGTAAAAACCAGTGTCCTGACATGAAGAACATTTGGCCCTTAAAAATTGGCATACAGTTCTCAGTCCAGGACTACAAAGATGCCTTACTTTAAGATTTATGTTCCTCAAGGAATGACATGGGGCATCTAAAGATGAGGAGCAGTAAGAACCTTGAAACAAGGAAAATCCCTGAAGTAAGGACCATGAATGGACCTGTAACTGGCACCTTATCAACCTTGAAAGGTTGAGCTTCACCAAGAATGTTCAAGTTCTTTGTTGACAACTGAGTAAAAAGACAATAAATGCAAGCAACGTACTGAAACACCACTGAATTGCTCTTCAATAACTTTATTGTGAACTTTATAAACTAATCACAAACTTCCTATCAAGTTTGAAAAAGTGATGCTGCTGAAATCTGCTTGTATTTAACCCTTTAACCCCTAAGAGAAACTAACTTCTAATTTCTCCTTACAACATCATCCCTAAATTAAACTTAAAAGGTCATGAGAATAAAGGAGAGGAACAAATTCTCCTCGTCAAAACCCCAGGAAATGTCTAGAGATTAGTATGGAGAATATGGATACTGATAATAATGTTTATTTAATAACAATACTGGCAATAATTGGAGATTTGGGAGATGCATTCGACCAACAGGCAAGGGAGTGGGGTATGGTTTTTGATTTTAGGATGTTTAAAAATGTCTAATTCCTTTTTTCAGAGTCATTTTACTTGGCTTGTGAAATAGTTACTGCACTACTAGTTATAATTACACACCAATTCCATTGTGTCATTTTTTTTTGTTTTCAATATTACGCATTACGGTTGGTCCTCTTTACAAATGAATTGTTTGTCTTTTGCTGTGTGGAAGTACATTTCACTTCTGTTTGTTTTCACCCTAAGATTCTGTAGAAGGTATATTTTGTTTACTTCTAATGAGTCCACCCAAGACTCCCATAGCACAAGTTTAATGGAGGCTGTTGTGTCATGTATTGTTCCCTCTTGCTTACGTAACACTCCTTGGTGTAGAGTTGATATTTTCTTAACACCCGATACATGGGCAGCCTCTGCTTTAACTGTGACCAGTTGCTATGCAGCAGCTTGATTTATACATGAAATGGCCATTATTCCTCTTGCTGTCAAAGTTTCACAGTAGTTAAATGGTACTTGGGCAACAGGTGTCACTGTTGTGGCTGGTCCAGTACAATGTCACCTGTGAGGGACTTGTTGTAGTTACTCACTCTCACTGCAGCTTTGGTTTGGTCTAATGTTTTAAGCTCTGGCTGTTTCTGTGATACAAAGCAAACTACACTTACAGATTCTGCCCCTTTTTGCAAAGTACAGTTGAAATATTTCTTGTTTGATGATTTTGCATTCTTTACTGAGGAGACAGCATGTATGTAGCAGCTGACTAGTGGATCTGCTGCAGATTCTGTGATGAGAATATTATTTCTGTTTTTTAGTTTATAGAAATAACATAATGTCAAGATGTAAACGAAGAACAACAGGGATGAAAACTGAATTTTGACAGGACTCGATATTGGGTGAGTGTCTTTAATAAATGCATCAAAAAGTGTAAGGTTTGTACTCCTCCAAGCAGTTTTCACACTTGTCCGGGCAAGTGGGCAAGTGCTCATTTCTCATAGCCCTGCAACAATAGTGATTTAATCATTATAATTATGTAATGACATGTATACATAAAATTTACATGAATTATTATTATTATTATCTAGAAAGCAGTTGTGGTTACACTAGCATTACAAAAAGTTTTAATATTTATGGCAATGATGTTCAGCAGGAACATTTGATGTGTTGTTACTTTAATGTCAGCATGCCAATAGTTAATAGTTATTAGTTAGTCTAGCAATTATAATTATATTATATTAATATTATATAGCAATTATTAATAGTAGTAATAATGTCTGCGTTTTTTTTTCTTTTCACTCCTTTAATAGTTAATATTAAAGGAATAAAAATAGTGTGCTAACTTACCTTGTAGTTTATTGCTGTCTTCATTCATGTTTTCTGTACAGGGGAGAGAGAAATGCTACTTCTAAAAACACACTCCTATCTATGACAGTAAAGAGCTGGTCTGAGTCTTTCACAGTTGACTTCTCTTCCACAAGGTTAAATGCCAGAAGTGTAGGTGAATTGCTTGTGGTTTCTTTCCTGATGAATTACTTTATGTCACCAGGGGCCTAAAATGAGAAATGAAAAGGACAATCAGAGATCTGTCATCTTTAAAAGAATTGCTGCAACATCCCCCTTTCATAGTTCAATTATTATCTGTTTATGATGATTGGCAATGTCTGCCAGGGTTGACTTCTTTGTCATCATGATCTGCTGCTTATTCCAGATTGGAGTGATGCTTTCTACAAGGCAATCATACAGTTGATGCATAGAATTACATAACAAGGTTCTGATGATGGTTGTTACATTTGAGTTTGCTGGTATTCTATAAACTCTCTGGAGAATGTCTGTCCTCACTGGTGTGTTAAGGGGTGGATGATTGTTTCTACCTTTGAGTTCTATGTGGCCCTATTGTATTTTATCTTACAGTTGATTCATCTTATGTAATTCTTTTATTGGTTTGCACTTGTTGTTTGGGAGGGTTTCTGTTGGTTTGCATAATTTGATCTGCATCTACTGTGTTTTGACTTCCTCTACAGCACCAAATTGCAACAAATCCCCTTTA